GCCCTGTGCTAATGGGCCTGGACCTCCTGCCGGAGCGGCCTGGAGAGCAGTGGGCAGCTTCTAGCCACGTTTGGGGGGTGGATATGAGGTGGACCCTCCGAGGGTGTCCAGCATCCGTGCTGGGCCTTGGTACCCTAGCAGGAGGGTGGGCACAAGAGGACCCACAGGCGCCCAGGGGGCCTCCCAGATCGTCAGCCTCCCCCCACGATGCCTGCACCCCTGTGCTGTGCGAGCTTCTCAGGGACCATGGGCTGGGACCCACCTTCCAAGTGCTGGCAAAAGTTTTAAGAAGTTCTGGTTAAATGGGACCCTTTCTAGGCCCTGGTGACCTTCCCTGGGGCCGAGAACCTGCCCCTGTCTGCCTGCCTCCCCGATTTGCCCCTTTCCTGGCAGCCCTGGGCTCTGAGGCGTGGGACACCCCTGCCCTTCACCAGAGCCCCGTACGCTGGGCTCCGCCTGCTGCCCCGTCCCTGCTGGGGGCTCCCCTTCTCGCCCGCTTCTCTCCATCCAGCTCAGCCTGGAAATCAGCCCAGCTCCTTGTTAGAACCGGGGGTAGAGAACAAGTCACATGGTCCCGAGGGGCTGGGGCCGCCTCTGTGCTCGGGGCCTCTGTTTCCTCGTCCCCCAGCACCAGCTGGACCAGAGCCCGTCCTGGCTGGAGGGGCCCAAGCCCCCAGGACACAGCGCAGCCGCCCTCGGGGAGAACGGGGCTGTCCCCACCGCCTCCTGTCCCTGCCGTGGCCCGAGCTGCCCCACTGCCCGGCGGTGGGAAAGTCTGAATCTGTTGCTATTTTCTCTCTGTTATCGGGCCCTTATCTGGCTGCTGTGTGCCGCGCAGAGGCCAGGGTCTCTCCCTGGCAGCGCCATGCCCCCTCCCGCCCACCGGCTGACCAGGGCCTGCGGGACAGGAGGCCAGGCCGTCCGCCGGCCTAGGGGGAGGTCTTTCTCTTCCACCCACACTGCCCTCCCCAGGCCCCAGACCCTCATTCCCCTCCCTCCAGCCGTGCCCCTTGGTCCCCACGCCCCTGTCCATGCCCCGCCCCCCATCGCACCCCCAGAGGGGCAGGTGTGGCACCTCCCCGGAGAGTTGAAACAATAACAACAGTTGTAATAATAACCCCAGGTCTGTGCTCAGCACCCACTGGCACCACATTGCTGAACCCTGACCCCAGCCCATGACACGAGGCTGCTATAACCCACAGCTTTCCGTAAGGAAGCTGGGCTCGGGGAGGCGTGGCCTGCACGAGGCCACAGGCCTCAGCGTCCCGCTCTTCCTTCTGCCTGGAGTGGTCTTCCCCAGCCCCGCCCGCAGGCAGCCTCCTGTCCCATCCCAGATCGCCACTCACTCGTCACCTCCTCCAGGAAGCCTTCCCTGACTGTCACTCCACCTCTCCTTGGTGGCAATGACCACACTTGCATTTTTCACGTTTCTTTCCTGGGGGGTACGTGTTGGCTGCTGCAGGGTCTCCAGGACCTTGTGCAGGGAGATGGACTCGGGGGAGGTTTCATGAGTGAATGAAGAGCGCAGGAGTGAACGGCAGTTGAGAAGGAGGCCGTGGGCGCTCAGGCCCAGCGCACCCCAGGCTGTGCAGGTGGGGATGTCGGGGGACGAGCAGGGCCGCGTGCCCACCAGCGTCCACCCCACCCCCAGGCCATCGGGCCTGCATTCATGCTCCGGCCCTGACACAGAAGGGGGCCTGGCAGGTGCCCCCACCTCTCCTTCCTCCTCTGTGCATTGGGAACACAAAGGATCTCCCCACAGAGGTATAAATGGCTGTGTAATGGCAGCCACATAGCGGGGCCTCAGGAAAGACCCACGCCCGAGGTCGAGCGCGGAGTCCAGGTGGGGGCTCATGGGGCTTCGCTCTGGTTGTTTCTCATAATGTTTCCAGTGGCTGGGGGGCGGGCACAGTCTGCAGGGGCCAGCGGGGGTTCGGCCGGGGCCTCCAGATTCCCTGTCCAGTGCTCTGAGCCACCCCGCTGTGCACCCCACCTGGCAGGTTCACCCCAGGGCCACCTCGGGCGATTCTGTCCTCCTCAGCTGCCAGCTCCGGCTTTCTTTGGGGCAGTCATCAAAAGAAGGACCCCCAGCTGCCTCCACATCAAAGCCGGGAGGGCCATCAATCATCGGCAGCCTGGGCTTCGGAAGGGAGTTGGGTCATCCCGCTGCACAGAGCCTGTCTCCGTAATTCAGTTTTAAAGCATGAAAAAAGGGAGTTGATGAAATTCCGCTATCAGCGCCAAGCCAATATGCAAAATATCTCACCCCCAATCAAATAGCTATTATGTTTTCATTTCCATTTCGGCGTCCGGCTTAATGAGCAGGAGACGGATCGGCTTGCGGGGGCGTCTGCTCGCCGTGATAACTGAGGGGCTTCGGGCAGCGGGGGCCGTACCCAGTGCTGGTGACCACCGTCATCACCCGTGGACGCCCCCAGACAGGTGCTCGGCCTTGGGCCCAGACCTCTCCATCGCGCCGGGCAATGGGGCCAGTATTACCCTCACCCCAGGTCATCGGCAGGGCGGGGGAGGCATGGGGCCACACCTGGAGCAGAGGAGGGCTGTGGCCTCAGCAGCGTCCACGTGGGTGGTGTGTTTGGGGAGTCGGGCTCCTGCCAAGGGCCACAGGCAGGTCAGTCCACATGGCTGGGCCTCCGTTGACTAATCTGCGAAGTGGGCATGACTCGGCCTCACCTCTGGGGTGTCGGAAGGCTCCCAGGCACTCGCCCATCGTGCCTGGCGTCAGGGCCTGCCTCTTGCTGGCCCCTCCCTGCACACACCTGCCCCACCGCCCTCCACCCCTGGGCTACGAGGTGGGCAGGGGGCTTAAGGGAAGACCTTTGTGGAACGCTGAGCACAGGGCTCACATACAGGCGGTGCTTAATAATAGCAGTTCCGTGCTGGGTGCTGGGTGGTAGCAACTGATGCTGGTGACGGGTGGTGTTTCCTGCGCACTTACTACATGCCAGGCGCTGACCAAGGCTCCACATAGGTGAAACCGAGTTTCGTCCTGCGGGGCCAGAGCTGTTGTGCTTTCCGAGCACAGGAAGGTGGAGTGACTTGCCTGTAGCCACACAGCAAGGACACCGCCTGCCTGGCCGTGGGTTGGCCTGGCTCAGTAGTTGGGGGGTCTGACCATAAAGCGCCCCACAGGGATCGAGCAGGGTCCTTCCTAGCCCAGGGCACCCCAGCCAGTGGAGAAAGCTTCCTCCCAGGTGGAGTGGGGACCCAGGTGCACAGGTGGCCCCGGGGGTGTCGGGGGGCTCCAGCAGTGGCTTCGAGGCAGATGTGGGGCAGGGTTGGGGCAGGATTCGCAGAGTCACATCCCGCTGTGGGCCTGGAGCCATTTGCTGGTTGATGATTGTCTCCTGTGTTATCAGAGTGTTAATTGTGCTGGAATGAATTAGCGGCATTAGGATAAATTGCTGCAGCCGGCAGCCTCTTTCTTCACGCTCCTGTCACGCTTTGTGAGGAGCGGGTGCCTTTGTTCTCCCATAAATGGAGCCGCCAGGAGCTCAGGGCCTCCCTGGGTGGCTGAGGCCCACCTGGGCGGGAGAGGCGTGTGCCCCGCATCGCCCCGGCTGCAGGGCTCTGGTCCCTGCACTCCCTGAAAGCAGAGGCTTCACACCCATTCTCCAGAGCCGGCCACTGAGGCCCTGAGGTCCCGGCGTCGGCAGGAGGGACCACAGCTCTGGGGCACCATCTCCAGCTCAGAATGAGCCGCAGAAGCACCTGGGCTTCTAGAAAGAGTTAAGCAAGCAGGCCTGCGAGCTGCCCGCCAGGGCCACCGGCAGTGCGGGCTGGGGGCCAGCCCCACGGGCCGGGGAGCCTCTGCTTTTCTGCCCCGGCGTCTGCCAGGGGAGGTCACGGGGGGTCAGGCCTCCCACCTGTCCGAGAGGCACGAGTCTGGGGTGTGCCCAGCCCACCGCGGAGCCCACCGTGTGGGCACGTTGATGAGAGACCGCGAGGCTTAGCCCAGGGCTGGTTCTGTGTGGTCTGAGCCCGGCCGTGGCCACGGGAAGTGACGGGAGGTGAGCGCCTGCCCTCCTGCTATCAGTACAGCTCTGAGGGGTCCTGGGGAGCCCGGGGCCCGTGGGTCTGTGGGGCCAGAGCTAGAATCCAGAGGGTGCAGCCGGGCAGGTGTCTGCACAGGAGGAGCTGGCGAAGGTGGTGGGGCAGGGGGCAGCGCTGCCCGGGCACCTGTCTCGGGCCCCAGGGCCCAGCTGAGACGGGATGGAGGGGGCCTGTGGGGCATTCGCAGAGCAGTGTGAAGGGGGACAGCTGTTCTCCGCCGTTCTCTCCGCCCACAGCACTGGCACTGCCCCTCTGACCTCGGGGGCACAGGTTGCCACCCTGGCCTGCACTCGGGGACACGCTGTGGGTCTGGCTTCGCCACCCTCCTAGGTGGTCTGGGGACTCAGTCTGCCTTCCCACCTGTACGGAGGGCTCCATGGGGCATCCCCTGCGTGAGGCTGGAGGGAGGATTAGTGGGCCCCGGAGGCTGGACTGCAGACGCTGTGCACCCACCTGTGTCCCATCAGCCATTTACCCCTTTAATCAGGTTGATGAGCACTTCCTGTGTGCCAGGCACTGGGGCCCGCCCTCTGCACATTCCCAGACCTCAGAACCTGAGTGTGGGAGCTTCCTGGAGGAGGGGTCCCAGGCACAGGGGGCAGGTGTGCAGAGCCCCGGGAGATGCTTACCTTGGGGGGTTGTGGATGTGCGCCGGGACCCTGGGATGCCGCAGACTGTGCGCCTGCATATCAGCAGCCCCCGGAGGCCCCGCCCAGAAGACGCCAGCCAGTGCGTCGGGTGCGCTCACGCCTGGAGCAGAGGAGAGGGGAGGGGTCGGGCTTCCCCGGGGCCTGCGTCCTGGCAAGAGCGGCCTGTGGGGTCGGCAGAGGCTGCAGGGCAGGTGAGGTGAGCAGGAGACCAGGTGGACCCCAGGCGTTGGTGCAGGGCTTGGCGTGGGTACATGGGTGGGGTTCGCACATCTAATCATGGGGGACCTGGAGGGGAGCCCCCGTGCTGACGGCCGCCCCCTCGAGGCCTCTGACCGCCTGGGGGGCCGAGACCCTGCTCGGACCCCACTGCGCCCGGCCCCGGGGCTGTGCCTGTGCTGGGGGGGTCAGGGCGCCGATTGTGGGGGGCAGCGCCTCACGACTCCCCTGGGGCTGTGTCTGCAGGTTCCCTCAGAGACATGGAGGCCAGAGAAGAGGCCCAGGCCGCAGACACCAGCCTCCCGGAGCGAGAGGCCACAGCACTGGAGCCCGAGCCCCCAAGCCCTTCCGCTCCAGGTGAGTCGGGTGGTGGACGTGGCAGGCTGGGCCCTGGCATCCTGGCACCCTTGCCCACGTCCGCAGCCTCGCTGCGATGTCACGGGAGCCAGTTCCCGCCGAGGACTCCAGTTTTCACACCTGCGAAATGAGCATTGCACCGAGCGGTGTGTGTGGGCTGCCCGTTGTGCCCACTGGGGCTTGGAGGGGCTGGTCCGGGTAGAGGAGGCGTGCGCACCTGCAGGGGGTCTGGAAAGCCCAGCCCTAGTGCAGAGCAAGGCCCCGGGCGGAAGGTCTAGTCCACGGTGAGGCAGGGGGTCACATGGGTACTGAGTGACCTGGGGAAAGCCACACCCCTTCCCGGCCTCCGTGTACCCTCGATGAAACGGGGCTGCCTGCCTCAGCACACGTGGGGCTCGGCACCGAGCAGGTTCTCCTGTTAAGGCAAATCACCCCGTTTTACAGACGGGGGAATGAGGCCCAGAGAGGTTAAGTGACTTGCCCAGGGCTGCACAGTCTGTAAGCACCTGAGCGGGATCCAACCCTAAGTCCGGATTCAGGTTGGTTCTCCCGTCCCCTCTGTCTGCTCCCCACCCTACCCCACCCTGGACACCTGGAACCTCTCCTGGGGCCCTCCTGGCAGTTTCCCCAGGGTTTTGGGGGCACTTTTCTGAAGCTGAGAACAGGACTCGGAAGGAGAGACTCCCACACGCACACCCAGGGCTGCATTAACCTGACACTAGGAGGCCTCCTCTGTCCGGGTTCCTGGAGGGGCCTCAAAGCCGGGCCATCCTCTCAGGCCAGCTGTGCCCTCAGAGACCCCCAAAGACCCCCCAGAGGATGGGCCTCACTGCGGTGGAGGCCCTGGGGGAGGTCAGTGCCCTCACCCCTGTTTTCCAGAAGGGGGAGCTGAGGCTGGGGGGTTAGAGGAGGGAGGATTGGCGGGGTCGGCTCCGCCCTGGCCCCTGCTCTGAGCCCCGCTCCCCTCGCCCCCCTCCACCCTGCCGGCCGTGGACAGCAGTCTCACATCCCCATTCCGTACCACGAAGCCCTGTGCACAGAGGCTGAGTTACCCCCAGACCATAGTCCCATGGGGGAGACACAGCCATAAATGGGGCCGTTTTAGAGGGTGGTAAGTGGGTGGTGTGACCAGGAATGAAGGCAAGATGGGGTGGGTGTGGCAGTGAGCAGAAACCTGCAGGACGGGTGGAGTTCCCCGTGCTCCACACACCTGCACGTGCAAAGGCCCTGGGGTGGCACAGAGAGGGGACAGGTGGAGAGCCCTGCAGGGCTGGGACTGGGGGGTGGAGATCCTAGGCAGACGGTGGGGGGCTCCTCACTGTGGGCCCCCATCCCCAGAATGTGCCAGTGTCAGTCTCCCCCGGCTGACCACAAGCCCCCAATACGCCTCATCCTCTGAGACCTGCTGGCCTGTGTCCCTTTGCCCAGCGGCAGCCCCTTGGGGTCACTGGGGCTGTGCAGTGAGGAGGCTTGGCCAGCAGGACTTGAAACCAAGGCAGGGGCTCCCATCACCCGCAGCTCCCCCGGGGCAGCAGGCGGGGTGGAGGCTCAGGGCCTGGGTTCTGGCGCTCTTGTTCACAGCTGTTACTGTCTCTTCTTTCACCGTCACCATCAGTGTTTAGTGCTGCGGCCAGCGCTCACCCCGGCCTGCCCCGGCCCGGGGCTCCTGCCCTTTCTGAGCCTTGGTTTCCGCATCTGTAACAGGGCGCCAGCCCCTCCGAGGGCCCAGGGAGTGGCGAGGGGGGCCCCCATCACCACCACCGTCATCATCGGGTGCTGCGTGCTAATGGGGGCCACGCTCTCCAAAGGGCTAGCGGCTGGTTACTGGTGGACTTTGCCCCGGGGAGCCGGGCCCCTTATCTGATCTGGGAGCTGGGCTGCACGGGGTGGGGGCGGGGGCGGGACTGGGGAGGAGCTGGAAAAAAACAGCCGGGGTTGCACCTGGCACAGGCCTCAGTGATAACGCGCTGATGGGCGCGATAAGACGGCAGGAGCAATGTCTGCTTGTCGGGCGGGCCCGGTGCGGCTCCCGCGCAGTGGCTGGAGCTCGGATGCCAGCCGCGTTGATTTATAGCCAAAAATAATAGGACTTTTATACCGTGTGATTGATTTATTCGATGTTAATCACGGGCCTTATCGCGGGTATTAATAATCTGCCGGGCGCGTGACGTCACCAAGGGGGGGCTTTTATGGGCGCTCATCGATTGGGGGCCGCGGTGGTTATCGGGCCCAGCAGGGAAGGCAAATATGCCCTTTGGGCTGGAATTGGGTGCGGGGCCTGGCGGAGGAGCCCCCAGCTGCCGGCCGAGGAGACCAGGGATCCGGGCCACGCGTGTGCCTGCTGGCCTGGGCGTGCTGGGCCGGCAGCTATCGCTGCCGCGGTTAATAAGGGGCTGAGCGCTTTTCAAGGCCAAAATGAAGGGGGAGAAACTGAGATGTCTGACGGTGCCCCCTGAGAGCAAGCTGGTGGGGGGAGGGTGGTGGCGGGAACTGTGCCATGCACTCATCCACCTGGGCCTCAGTATCCCTCCCGGCCGCAGGCTGGGGTGGGCGGGCAACTTGGTGCCCCGAGGCTCAGTAGAACCTTCTGGTGTTTTCCTTCCTGCAGATGCTACTCCTCCACCCCCACCGCTACCACCCGCCCCCACGTCCCCAGGAGGCTCCGAGGAGACGGAGTGTCCGGAGCCAGAGACGAGGCTGGAGGAGGAAGAGGCCAGCAGCCCCTGGAGCGGGCCAGGTAAGCGCGCCTGTGTCCGGGGTCTGGCGGCCTTGTCTCTCCAGGGCAGCCCTGGGGCCCAGCCTTCTGGGGGTCCTGGGAGCTGGCCACCCTGACAGCGCAGGTGTGACAGGCCTGGCCCACTGGCCGAGGAGATTGGTGGTGAGGCACCAGGCCCAGGTCTGTCCTGTTGCGAAGTCCAGCCAGCCTGTGGGCCAGCGGCTTCCCTGGAGGTGGGCGCCAAGCTGTGCCGGTGCTCAGGCCCCTAGCAGCAGATAAGTCTCTGAGGCTTCCCTGGAGGTGGGAATGTGAGTCTGGAGCGGCCTGAGTACCTGCGCCTTCCCAGCCCAGCTAGAGGCTCAAGCCTGTGTGGGTGGCTGCAGCACGTGGCAGGGGGCCGGAGGCCGTTCCAAGCCACCGGGTCCTGGATCAGGAGTGTCTTTGAAGGCGGTTTCGTGCTCCCAGCACTGCCCCACCCCCGCTTGTAGCTGGAATTCTGACCTCGAAGGGCCCACCAGGTGTGTGGTGCCCGTGGCTCCCCACTTACACCAATGTACGAGTGTAGGGCAGGCTGGGCGTGTCGGCTGTTGCCGTGATTCCTAAGTACAACTGACGCGGCTCAGGGGAACCATGGCAGCTCGGAGGAGTCCTGGGAGCTGCTGGGTGAAGCAGGGAGGGCGTGGTCCTCGCGAACTGAGGGAGAGAATGGAGGTTGCACACTCAGGCCAGGCGCATGTGCACGTAGCAAGCACATATCGAGCACCTGCTGTGTACCCAAGGTGCAGCTCTGAGCAAACAGGGTCCTCAGAGAGCTGTGATGACACAAATGCAGTCAGTGGCCAGTGGAGAGGAGGCACATGGCAAGGATCTCATCTTGCGGGGGGTCAGGGAGACCTCATCAGGGCAGAGAGGACCCAGGGTCCCTCTGGGTCTCCCAGGGGTGTCAGAGATGATCTCCTGCCAGGTGCAATTCAAGTGGCCGTGTGGACCCTTCATCGGGATCCCAAGGTGTCAAGGAAAGAG